GAGTTGCCATTGGCTAAGGAATGGTTAGCGTGGCATGAAATTGAGAGAGAAGGTCCCGTCCCCACAGATTAATGTGAAGAGGAAGGATGACAGGTTGAATAGTCAGGGTGGAGTTAGGAATAATCAGCAAAGGGTGCTGTGAAGGGACAGGAAATGCTACTGTCAGAGGAAGGGTGACGACAGATCCAGGATCCTCATAGACAATGGATTCAGATAGAAGGACTGGCAAGGAAGTAGGTACAGTCTTTGGAGTGGGGCTAGCTGTTGGCCCCGAAACTAGTTTTCCGGCTGTTGCTGAGCCGGGCGGGGATTGGTGCGGCACTGGCTGGCCCAATGGAAACCGTTGCGGCAGCGCAGGCACACAGTTTTTGGTTTGGAACCGGGGGGCTGGCTGCGCCCACGAGGGGCGCCGCCGCCACCCGGAGCATGACACTGTGAACGAAAATGGCCAGGCTTCCCGCAATTATAACAATTTCCCTTCAGGTGAGAGGTGGACAAAGCAAGAGTAGAAGAAAGAACTGAAGCTAAAGCCGCAGTGCGGTGAGATTCCGTGCCTACTTCCTGGCATGCGCGAATATAATCCGCAAGATTTTGAGTTGGCAAGGCTTGAAGAGGCTTGAGAATTTTCTGACAGTCCACATTAGCATTAGCAATGGCTAAACGCATGAGAAGTTCGCTCTGAGCGGAAATATTATCCACCTGCCTGCTAATGGCATCTGTGAGATGATCAATAAAGGAGGTATAGGGTTCAGAGGGCCCTTGAAGGATAGAAGTAAAGGAGTGGGTAGGTTGAGAGGTGTTAGGGAGCCGCTTGAAGGCGTTTAGCGCAGCTTCCCTCATAATCGGGTACCTCCCCCACTCCCATAGTGATCTCTTGCGCGGGGTTTTGCACCGTACCTTGGCATAAGAGATGATCAAGAGTAACTCCTGCTGATAGTCCGGCTGCAGCAGCAGCGTTAATTCCGAGGCAAAATTCATTGTGCCAGGTGGCAAGCGAAGCGGGAGAGAGAAGCATAGAAGCAATAGCTTTCCACTCTGAAGCAAGAACCAGATGATGCGTAGAAATGTTGGCTAAAAGTTGGCGGGTAAACAGGGAGTCGATGCCATACTTAGAAGCAGCAGTTTTTAATTCCTTTAACAAAGTCCACTCCAATGGGGTATAATGAGGGACAGGATTACCCCCGGCAGCGGGGGTTTGAAGAATCATAGGGAAACAAGAAAGATCATCCGCAGATAGCTTTCCTTCCGCCAAAGCCGATTGAAAGGCATTACGGACAGGAGGATCTGTCGCCGCGGCGGAAGGAGGCAACGGAGAAGAGGGGTTCGGAGAAGAGTCAAGGGGTGGGGTGGAGTAGGGTGGAGGTGCCGAGGCAGCAACAGGACAGAGTTCAGCGGAAGGTGGGTCTGAGGAAGACTGGATAGAATCATCGGGAAAGAGAATATTAAGGGCGGCCATAACAGCACGCCAAGAACAAATAATCTGAGGCGGAGCTCTGGGTGGTTCATGCATCCATTTCCCCATCCGTTCCCAAGAGGAACGTTTAAGAGTGCCTTCCGTGGGATACGCGGGGCAGTGTTGTTGGACATAACTCAAAAAATCATCCAAATACTTTTTTGACAGAGGATATACGTTTGTGCTGTTAGCCTTCTGCAAATAATTTGCCTTCTTCACTAAAGCGAGAAGTTCATCCCTATGCTTGAGTTGAACTTGAGAAAGTGAGGAGCCCATACTTATGATGCGCGAGCCTATTCCAGGTGCGTAGTACAGGAGTGAAGGAAGCGCATTCCTAGACAAGAATCGCGCTTTGTCGGGGACGTATCGTTGAGACGATCACGTCGGGGTCACCAGTTGATGCGTTGCGGGTCCCACTGCCGGGATGAGTTAGTCAGCTGATGACCTGCACCCAGGCAGACTGTCTTGGCGGGCTCCTCTTAGTGGCAAAGATGCCAGCAACACAAAGGTTTCTTTTGGTGAGAGGAAGCCCAGATAGTACTACACACCTCTCTTTTATTGTGCAGCAAGCAGGGGGGGCGGGTTATGTTACACATGAGGAAGTTAGACAGGAATAGGGAATATTGCCATATATGGCTACACCTTATGCTATAGCCAATTCATGTTTTACACATTGCTGTTCCATAGTGTCGCCCTATATGTGTATTGTATGTGTATTGGGTTTTCTGTGTACGTGACTTCCTACTGATGTGTCATGATATTGCAACAAAGAAGAGTTCTCCACTCCTCTACTCGATGCAGAATACCCTATGCCACCAGACTTGAAATTCTAGACCTAGAAAACCTAGAACTACACCAACTTCGGTCCAATCTAAGTATAGTATATAAAATTATACACTACAATGTCCTTCCTGTTAATGAATACTTCAGCTTCAACCATAACAACACAAGAGTACACAATAGATACAAACTCAAGGTAAACCACACCAAACTTGATTGCAGGAAATACAACTTCAGCAACAGAGTGGTCAATGTATGGAATACTCTACCTGACTCTATAGTTTCTTCCCCAAACCCCCAAAACTTTAATCTTAGACTGTCTACTATTTCCCTTACCCCTTTCCTAAGAGTTGTATAGGGGATGTGCATAAGCGCACCAACGTGCCTACCATCCCTGTCCTATTGTTTCTTTTTATTTTTCTTATATGTATCCATTTCATGTATTCATAACTATATTTATACTTATACCTGTTATCTTATATCTATAAGTAGTGGGATTCCATTTCAGGATGCAGAGATGTTGATATAAAACATAACAATAATAAAGGTCTTTCTAGTTAACAGGAAGCATTGAAAGAATTAGAAGAGAATTAGGGCTTCCCCCTTACACCATGCTTTTAATGATCAACATGGATTGGATTTGCAAAACGTAGTAGTAAAATATCCTAGATCTATAAATAACCTACTGTTTCTGGATTGAACCATGATTTGTTCAGTCTTCCAGGTTCTCTAGTGTATCTTTTTTGAAGTCAGTGATATACAATAACATGCAAATGCACTCCTACTAGCAAAACTGAGTTTCTGTAAGCTAGGCAACAGGAATATATGTGCTTTGGGATGGTGATTGTTTTTTATAGAGGGCAGCAACTGATTCTAGAATCAGAACTATTCAGTGGCTACAGCAATCCCTGGCTGCAGAGGTTTTCGTGCAATAAAAGATGCTGAATATGCATGCTCTGGGCCTCTGGGTTTAGCCAAGATTTGATGCTATTTATTCTCTTTGATTGCACATTCCGGTTGTGGTACAAAGGGCTAGCAGGAGATGTTCTCTTGTGCTAAATAATTTGAACACATTTCCATTTCAATGCCACCAGTGATCTTTCCCCACCTGTCCTGGAAAGCACTGTAGGACTTTAGGAGAGGGTAGAGGGAGTATTGTGGTGAAGTTGCATTTGCTGCCAAAGGACTTACTGCTGGTATTTTTTCTGATTTTATGCCTTCAGGTACACTATAGTTTTAGCTTTTCCCTCTTTATAAATCACAAATTCCCAAGTACAATAGTATTCTGCCAAATACCCTTATGACTGCCAACAATTGTTTGAGCTAACAGAAATATGCACGAAGTATAAGAGCCAGCATCATTCTATGAGGAAAAAGTTGAATATATAGGGGAGATGTAGATTCATATCTCACTTTTTAACATGGAACATTTTCACAATTCTCCTCTTTCACCTTTGATATTCTTTGTGTAAAATAGGAATAGTTGAAGCATGATTCTTATTCTGCATGACTAATATATGAAATCAGCATGAAAACATAAGTGAAAATGTCTACATAATTACTATAAAATAGTTCATGATTTGAAACAGTGACTGAAAGGAAAATGATCTAGTACTATAACTTAGTGGAAGCAATAGTCTTAGCAAGCCATAGTCTTCCTTTCAAATGTAGCATGAAGAGATTATTGGAAATTCCCATTGAAAGGTTAATTTAAAGTGTATGAAGAAAAATGTATGTGAAATCCATTAATTTATAAAATATTTTCATGTATCTCTATAAGAGCTGTGGCAGCACAATGGTTAGAATGCAGTACTGCAGGCTAGTTCTGCTGACTGCTTGGCTGCCAGCAATTCGGCACTTTGAATCTAACCAGCTCAAGATTCTCAGGTTTCCATCCTTCTGAAGTCAGTGAAATGAGGACTCAGATTATTGGGGGCAATATGCTGACTCTGTAAACCACTTAGAGATGGTTGTAAGGTACTATGAAGTTGTGTAAGTGCTATTGCTATATATCATGTAACCCTCAATTCTCAGTTGTTGCTTGTGTTTGATTCCTACAGTTGTTTCTTCTGTTTCTTTCCTTCTATCTCAGATTCAGACATGCATTTCTTTGTATAGGTAGACCTTGAGTTACTATTGTTATGGAGCCTGCCCTTTTGAGTGGCAATAAGAGCTGGATTTTTTCAGCCCACTACATGTACCTTGATATAGTCAAAATAGCAAACAAGCATCCACTGCAGCTCCTTCAGAATATATGTTATGTTTTGGTGAAGTTTACCACTTTCACTGGGCATATTTTGCACCAGTTGAAGCTTTTAACTTCAAGGGCAGTCTTAACTAAATCAAACTGACAGAAGATACCAATGCTTTCATCACTATTGCTAAGCTATCCCTATCAAGGAACACTTATAGCCAGTGGTGTTCTGGTGCCAGCTCATACTGGCTTGCAAGCACCAATTGTTAAATTTTCAGGACTTTTGTGAACTGGTTGAGATCAAAACTGAGTCACAATGTTTTCAGCTGTTTGGAAGCCAGCATTGCAGTGGCAGCAGCAAAGGAGTCCGCAGAGCTGGTTGTTATTTATTTATTAGCACACCACTAGCTATAGGTTTGAGCAAAGATACTCCTAGTTTTGAGTACAATCTGAGTTTCCACTGATGAATGCTAAGCTGGTAGCATCTGAGAACAAGCACCTACTGCACCAGAGGAATATTCATCCAAAATAGAAAATATTTTATATCCCTGGACAATGTAGTGGACCATCCACAATGCCTCTATCTTGTTAAAATTTGGTGCCTGCATATTGGGTTTTATCTAGCCTTTCATAAAAAAGATGTTGAGGCTCTAGAAAAAGTGCAGAGAAGAGCAACCAGGATGATTAGGGGACTGGAGACTAAAACATATGAAGAACAGCTGCAGGAACTGGGCTTGGCTAGTCTAGTGAAGAGAAGGACGAAGAGAGATATGATAGCAGTCTTCCAATATTTGAAGGGCTGCCACAGAGAGGAAAGGGTCAAGCTATTTTCTAAAGCACCTGTAGGCCAGATAAGGAATAATGGATGGAAATAGAACAAGGAGAGATTTAACTTGGAAATAAGGAGAAACTTTCTGACAGTGAGAGCAATCAACCTATGGAACAGCTTGCCTGTGTGGAGCTTCATTGCTTGAGACTTTCAAAAAGAGATAGGACTGCCATTTGTCAGAAATGGTGTAGGGTCTCCTGCTTTGGTGGCGGGTTGGACTAGATGATCTATAAGGTCCCTTCCAACTCTGTTAATCTAAATTTTTGTGGTATGGTGATCAAAATTGTTTGCAGAATTCCAGGTGTGGTTTTACTAGGGTTTTATAAAGTGGTACTAGTCCGTCATGTGATCTTCATTCTATGCCTCTGTTTATACAACCCAGGATTTTATTAGTTTTATTGGTTGCTGCTGCACACTGCTGGCTCATATTCAAGTGATCGTCCACTAGGACTGCAAGTTGCCTGTCATAGTTACTGTTTTTGAGCCAGGTCTCACCTAATCTGTACTTATAACTTTGATTTTTTTCCTGCCTAAATGTAAAACTTTGCTTTTCTCCACATTGAAATTCATTTTGTTGGATATGGCCCATTGTTCAAGTTTGTTAAAATCTTTTTGAATCCTGAACTTATCTTCAGAGGTGTTGGCTATTCCTGCCAGTTTAGTAGATTTGATGAGTTCCATTTCTATTCCCTCATCTAAGTAAATATGAAGAGATATGAAGAGTACTGGGCCTAAGACAGAGCCTTGTAGTATCCCATTGCTTACTTCTCTCCATGTGATGTAGTACCATTAAGGACTATTTGTTGTGTATGGTTTGTCAGCCAGCTACAAATCCATCTGCTGGTGATGTTGTCTATTCCACATTTTTCTAACTTACCAAGAAGTATGTTGTGGCCTACTTTCTCAAATGCTTTACTGAAATCTAAGTATATACTATGTACACAGCATTTTTGCTGGTCTACTAATTTAGTCACTTTATCAAAGAATGAAATAAGATTGGTTTGGCATGATCTGTTTTTAACAAACCTGTTAGATCTGGGAGGATGGTTCAAGAACGGAGGCAAGACTCAGATAGCAACAACAGCTCTTTATTTGTGACTTCAGATCTGAGCAACTAACCCCAGCCGCAGCAGCCCCTTATATAGGGCTGGCTGCGGCTAGGCAGCCAATTAAGGCGATTTGAGTTTGCCGCTTTTGGCAGGGCCAATCGCGGCAGCCCGTTTACTGGCCAATCGCATCAGTCTATGGCGACCAATCACGATTGGCTTTCAGCGGGCCAATCAGATTTGCAGGCTACGAGCCTGCTAGTCCGGAACAACCCTCCCCTCTTGGTTCCGTTTAAGGGGTGGAGTAATATAGTCTCACAGGTAGGCAGGTCTTCGCACCTGTCTGCCTGACTTACGCAATTCCACTTGTCCCTGTTCAAACCCGGGTTCAGATGGACTGCTTGCTGGATCAAACAGGAACGGTGACCCGGTGCCCTGGTTAGGGCTCTCCTCGGGGTGATAGAGTCCTCAGCCTCGCTGTTACTGCCATGGCTCCCGGGGCTCGCTGAACCTGCCTGGTTGCTGCTTCTTGGAGAAGCGTTTGACTGTCCAGTCTCAGCTGCAGCTGGTGAGTGTTGCCAACCATGGTGCGGTGATCTCGGTGTTAGCTCGGAATAAACAGGTGTTGGTTCTAATTCTGAGTTTGCTGCTTCCCCTCCCCCCCTAGTGTCAAAATTAGGGTCAGGGTTGGAAGATGTGGTTAGTCTGGAGCGCAGTTGGTCAATATGGCATTTCCATGGCCTGCCATCAGTGGTGAGTAGGCGGTAGGAGCGGGGACCCATAACTTGAGTTACTTGGGCAGGAATCCAAAGGGGATCCCCAGAAAATTTTTTTGCGAAAACAAGGTCTCCTACCTTGAAAACACGGTGCTTGCTGCTGGAACCCAGGGGCTTTTCCGGGGTGTAGGCAGGGTGCAAACGATCTAGAGGTGATCTGAGTTTCCTGGCCATCAGGAGTTCAGCTGGGCTCTTGTTGGTCGTGCTGTTTGGTGTGATGTGTTTTTTAGGAGCAGCATTCTAGTGACTTTGTCGTGGATGTTGCCTTGATCCATTTTCTGCAGGGATTTCTTTGTAAACTGAACCATTCGTTCAGCCCAGCCATTCGCCGCAGGATGAGCCGGTGATGTGAGTGCGTGTCGGATGCCCAATTCCGCTAAATACTGTTCAAAGGCTAAGGCAGTAAATTGGGGCCCATTGTCAGAGACCAGGACATCTGGTAACCCGTGTGTGGCGAAGAGTCTGTTCAGTTTTTTAATGACCACCTCAGTAGTGGTTGCTTTCATCTTATTGACCTCAAGCCAGTTTGAGTAGGCATCTACAGTTATTAAGAAGGTGTGGCCTCTCGTAGGTCCTGCAAAGTCAATATGAATGCAAGACCAAGGACCCCTGGGTGTTTCCCATTCTGCTGGTGGGGCTTTAGGTGGAGCTGAGTGGTTTTCCTGGCATTTGTTACAAGAGGCGACCCAGGTTTCAATTTGTTTGTCCATACCTGGCCACCAGGCGTAACTTCTTGCCAGCGCTTTCATACGCATGATGCCCAGGTGTCCATCATGTAGCATTTGCAAGACCCTTTTTTGTAACTTAGTTGGTACAACAACTCGGTCTCCCCACAAAACGCACCCCTTTTGTGAAAAAAGTTCCGTTTGTCTGTTTTTAAACGGCTTAAACATTTCCTTAGTGTCGTAACCTGGCCATCCCCTCTCCAACCAGCCAAGAACTCGTGCCAAACAAGAGTCTCTTTTGGTTTCAAAGGCGATGTCTTGGGCCGTTAGTGGAGGCGATGGCATTGTCTCTATTTGCAGTACCGGGAGTGTGGGAGCTGGGTCTTCCTGTGGCTCGGGTAGCGGTGAGAGGCTCAAGGCATCTGCGTGGGGAATAGATTTCCCCGGATGATACTTTAATTGATAGTTGTAGGCAGCGAGAAATTCTGACCATCGTGTCATTCTGGGGGAGAGAATGTGTGGGGTAGGTTTGTCGCCCGCCAGGATCCCAAGTAGTGGCTTATGATCCGTTATAATAGAAAATGGTCTCCCATAAACATATTCATGAAATCGTTTAATTGCAGAAACAATAGCAAGGGCTTCCTTATCTAATTGGCTATAGTTTCTTTCTGTTTTTGATAGAGTTCGTGAAAAAAATGCAATTGGTGCTTCTGAGCTGTTTGGTAGGACGTGGCTCAGGATGGCCCCTACCCCAAATGGTGAGGCATCACACGTGACAGTCAAAGGTAGTGTCTCGTTATACTGAATTAGTACTGTCTTTGAGGTAAGGAGGTCTTTTACTTGCTGGAAGGCGTGTTCCTTCCGACATCCCCAAATCCAGGATGCCCTTTTATTGAGTAGTCTATGAAGGGGCTCAGCAACAGTCACCTTCTGGGGTAGGAAGATGTTATAAAAGTTAATAAGTCCCAGGAAAGCTCAGAGGTCAGTTTTGTTTTTGGGTCTTGGGGTGTTTTTGATAGCTGCCAATTTTTATTCTGTGGGGTGGATTCCTTGCTTGTCAAGGAGGTAGCCAAGAAACTCCACCCTTTCTGTGCAAAGCTGGCACTTTTCCTTCTTAACCTTGAGGCCAGCATTTTTGAACCTCTGTAGGACTGTTCTGAGGCATTTTTCTAATTGGTTTTTTGTGGGTGCTGCTATTAATACGTCATCAAAATAGGGCACGACCCCTTTTATTCCTTGTAATAGTCTCTCCATCAGGCTTTGAAAGATGCCTGGGGCTACGCTTACACCAAACTGGAGCCTGTTGCATTTGAATGCACCACGATATGTGACTATAGTTTGGGCTTCTGCAGTCTCGGGATCAACTGGCAGCTGTTGGTATGCTTGGGTCAGATCTAATTTTGAGAATATTTTGCCACCCCCAAGTGAATGCAGGAGATGTTGAACAACTGGTACTGGGTAGGCGCTCTGCTGTAGTGCATGATTGAGGGTGGCCTTGTAGTCACCGCAGATTCTTATGGACCCGTCAGGCTTTATGGGGGTGACAATTGGTGTCTCCCATCGGGCGTGGTTAATAGGTTCTAACACGCCTTGTGCAATTAATTTGTCCAGTTGCTCGTCAATTTTGGATTTGAGAGCAAAGGGAACTCGGCGCGGCTTTAGGCGAATGGGTGCAATGTCGGGGCGAAGATTAAATGAAATAGGGGACCCCTTGTACTTGCCTAGGCTTTCGTTGAACACTTCTCGGAAGTCGTGGACGAGAGCCGCCTCCCAGTCATTGTCTTCAGTATGATGGATGCCAGCCATTCCGATTCCTAATGGTGCGAACCACTGAAGACCCAATAGACTTGGCCGGTCTCGGTCTACGATGGTGAGTGGAAGAATTGCCTTATGTCCCTTGAACGAGACCTGCACATGGCGGGTACCTGCGACTGGAATCCGGTTGCCTTGATAGTCTTTCAGTATGAGTTTCTGACTGCTGAGGTCTTGGCGTCGGATGTTGGGGATGAGCTGCTTGAGTGTTCTCCAGGATACCATGGATAGTGATGACTCAGAGTCGACTTCCATGTTGCACGGTTTGTTTTCAATTGTGACCTCTACTCGGATCTTTTTAGCGTCAAGTGATGAAGCATGGCCGATGGTGATGGTTTGATGAGCCTCCTCTTGTCTGGGGGTGTCGTTAAAACTTCGGGGTCTGCTGTACTGGTTCCACTGGTTGCTAGGGCGGTCCCTCTGCGTGGTGGCGTTGCCATCATTTCTCTTTGGGCTGCTCCCTCTCCATCTGGGGCTGGAATTCTCTTGTTTCTGCATACCTTCGCGATGTGTCCCCGTTTCTCGCGAAAACGGCATATGGCGACTAAGAATCTGCATTCAGATCGGGGATAGTTTCCCCCGCATCCAGCGCATTGGTAGTTGGATTTGCGACCCCACTGGTCCCATTGCTCACGTTCAGACTGGAGCCTGTGGACTTCTTCCTCGCTGTCTGAGGACGACTTGACATCATCTGTACTTGTCTGAAGGTTTCCCAGCATCGTTGGTGGGTTGGCGGTTGGTCCTGCTGGTTCGACGCATTCGTGCTGCCGATTTACGAGTGGCTTCAGTTGCTGTGGTATCTGCTATGGCATCTGCAAGCGAGATGTCTCCCTTGGCCATAATCTTGCTCTGGACGGTTGGGTCTCTGAGGCCAAGGACGATGCGATCTCTCATGGCTTCTTCGAGGTTGGCGAAGCCACATAAACCACCCAGGTTCCTCAGGTCTGCCACAAAATCCCCAACGCTCTCACCTTCACGTTGGTCCCTCTGGTAGAACTCATGCCTGCGAATGAGAGTTGGCATGGCTGGGGCGTAATGGTTGAGCAGGATGGGAGCAAGGGTGTCCCAATCCATGGTTTTAACTTCAGCTGGCTTGGCTAAGGCTTTAACCATCTTAAAAACGGCTGGTCCATAATGGGTTAGAAAAACGGCTCGTTTCTTGCTGGGCGTGGCATCTTTGAGGTTGTTGGACTCCAGGAACATTTGAAATCTGTCCATGTATGAGTCCCAATCTTCGCTAGCTGGATTGAATGGTGCGGGTGGTATAGCGCTGCTGGCCATGTCGCCATCGTTGCGCTCTGTCAGCCATGTGCTCCTTCGGCTAGCTCAATTCAATAGCTTCTGTTGCCTCTGCATCCCATCCTCGTCGCCAGTGTTAGATCTGGGAGGATGGTTCAAGAACGGAGGCAAGACTCAGATAGCAACAACAGCTCTTTATTTGTGACTTCAGATCTGAGCAACTAACCCCAGCCGCAGCAGCCCCTTATATAGGGCTGGCTGCGGCTAGGCAGCCAATGAAGGCGATTTGAGTTTGCCGCTCTTGGCAGGGCCAATCGCGGCAGCCCATTTACTGGCCAATCGCATCAGTCTATGGCGACCAATCATGATTGGCTTTCAGTGGGCCAATCAGATTTGCAGGCTACGAGCCTGCTAGTCCGGAACAAAACCCATACTAGTTATAACTTCATTTGCTTCTAATTATTCACAGATCTATTTTTTAGGATCTTCCCAGGCATTGATGTTAGACTGATTGGTCTATAGTTTCCTGAGTCTGGGATGTAATCTGTCAGGTCCCAGTAATTTATATTTGTCAATGTTCTCTTAACATTTTCTTGCCTATTTTTATTTTTATTACTAGTTTTGATTTTATAGTAGTTTTTTAATAAGTTAGGCTATAATTTCTTTTTGCATGAAAACTAATGCAAACAATGAGTTAAGCAGCTCTGCTTTCACCCTACTTTCTACTTCCTTGCTATCTTCTCTTTTGAATGGACCTATTGTTTCCTTGACTTTTTTCTTGTTATATGTCAGCTGGTGCTTCATTCAAAATCCAAGAAAGAAATACTTAGACTCCTTTAATCAGAGAAAAGATATCTTTTACTGGAAATCAAGTGGTAGCAACAAAAGAATTCTGAATCTGAGAAAATGGGCGCGTAAATCACATATACAAAGCAATGGCAACATTCCCACCCCCAATAGTTCAATTGGCTCATCCAATTAAAAGTTTTGTATATCATCATGTGGGCATCTCCAGGTGGTGATGAGGCTTCTGTCCATTGACCTTGACATATTTTGATAAAGAGTTGCAGCTGCACATAGCATAGGATAGAAACCTAAGCAAGAATGTACCCCCCCTCCCAGCCTATACAGTTCTGATTTGTAACGCCTCCAACTCACTTCCCATAACCATTCCCCACTCCTCCCCCTGTTACTTATGACAGCCAAAAGATGCAAAGCAAAGGGAGAAAATCTTGAAGGCTGACATTCGGCCCTCCTAGAAAAGAGACGTTAGTCCTAAAAAAAATAAAAATAGAAGGTAATAGAAAATACACATGTAACAGCATCATACTAATTTTTAGGGTTTATCAGGATATTTAGCATGAAATGCCTTGATAAGTGCAGGAGCTCTAACATCCTTCTCATTCACCCACTCAACCTGGGAAGGAGGAAAATGTTTCCAAGCAACCAAATATTGGAGTCGACCCCTTCGTTTTCGAGAATCCAAAATTTCTTTAACTTCAAAATGTTGTTCACCTTCAATTAGTAATGGTACAGGGGGATCAACCTGAGTTGGTCTCAAGTCAGAGGTATGTTCAGGTTTTAATAAACTAGCATGGAAAACAGAGTTTTTGGTAATTTCAGTTGGACTGCCACAGGATTCACAATTCGTTCAATCGAGAAGGGTCCAACATACTTAGGTCCAAGCTTTTTTGACTTTTGTGTGGTCTGCAAATACCTGGTGGATAAAAAGACCTTGTCACCCACTTGATATGATTTCTGTAGAGTTCTCTTTTTATCTGCAAATTTTTTATGAGCTTGATAAGCATCATCTAATGCTTTACGGGTAACTGGCCAGGTAAGCTGGAGCTGTGTTATCCATTCATCTAATGACTGAATATTAGGTTTCTCCCGTGGAAGCTCAGGTATGAGTACAAAGTCTTGTCCCGAAGCCACTTTAAACAGAGTAAACCCAGTACTACTATGTACCGAATTATTATATGCCACCTCAGTGAATGGCAATAGGTCAGCCCAATTATCTTGCTGATAATTTATATAACATCGAAGATATTGTTCCAATACCGAGTTAGTTCTCTCACAAGCCCCATTGGTTTGTGGGTGTTGGGCAGAGCTTAAGCCCTGGATGGAGCCCAATAACTTCAGGAACTCCTTCCAAAAGTTTGAAGTAAACTGGACACCCTGTCTGAGATTATGCGTTCAGAAACCCCATGTAACCTGTAGATATGTAAAATAAACAGTTTAGCTAACGTTTTCGCAGATGGGATTTTCGGACAAGGTATAAAATGTACCTCTTTGGAAAACAAATCGGTTACTACCCAAATAACCGTATTCCCCCCACTTTCAGGTAATCCCACTATAAAATCCATAGAAATTTCCTTCCATGGTGCTGTTGGTCTAGCCACATTTTGTAATAAGCCTGCTGTTTGGCTGAGGCACAGATAGGACAGCTAGCCACATAAGCCTCGATGTCTTTTTTCAAGGTAGGCCACCAAAATTGCCTTTTAACCAAGTGTAAGGTCTTTACAAATACAAAATGTCCAGTAGCTTTAGAGTCACGAGCTTGCTGTAATATTTGGTTTCTCAACTTTGCTGGCACATGTAATTTGACCCCCACCCATGCCAATCCATCTCTAACTGTACAGTTATTTGAGTGAGCCAAGAACCAATCATCAAGTTTCAGAGATTCTTTTAATTGTGTAGATAAATCATTTGATAATTCAACTTCCTTCTTTTTCTGGGCTCTGGTAACCACTGGAGCCGCCAACTGTTTGGTGGGGACAATAGGCCGGACCACTTCTGGGCAGGCACTATTATATTGAGGTAATCTAGATAAAGCATCTGCCATGAAGTTCTTCCCCCCTGAAATGTATTTCAATGAAAAATTAAAACATTTGAAGTACTGTGCCCAGTGAACTTGCTTGGGAGACAGCTTCCAAGGCGCTTTCAAAGCCTCCAAATTTTTATGATCTGTCCACACCTCAAAAGGGTGTTTTGCCCCTTCTAGAAAATGACTCCAGGTTAACAGAGCCCAGCGAATTGCAAAAGCTTCTTTTTCCCAGATGGCCCATCTTCTTTCAGTTTCAGTTAGCTTATGGGAAGTATATGCACATGGTTGCAGAGTCCCCGTCTCGTTTGCTTGTAGTAACACTGCCCTGTCTGCTACGTCACTTGCATCGGCTTGGATTATAAAAGGAGCATCCATGTCCGGGTGCTTGAGTACTGGTTCAGCAGCAAACAGTCGTTTCAGCTTCTCAAAAGCAGCTTGACATTCCATGGACCACTCTAGTGGTTTACTAGGTTTCGTTTTCACCTCCCCTTTGGTTTTTAGGAAATTTGTGATAGGCATTGCAATCTTCGCAAAAGCAGGGGTAAATTGACAGTAAAAATTAGCAAATCCCAAGAAACTTTTGAGTTGTTTCCTGGTGCGGGGAGGGCCCCATTCCAAAACGGCATGAGCCTTCCTCGGATCTATTTCTATGCCATCATGTGAGATGCAATAGCCTAAATAGTCAATTTTTTCCTGGTGGAATTCACACTTGGACAACTTTGCATACAGCTCAGCAGCTCGAAGTTTTTCCAGAACTGACCGCACTAGTTTCACATGTTCATCACGAGTCTCCCTGTAGATAAGAATATCATCAAGATAAACCAACATCCCTTTGTATAGATGTTCATGCAACACCTGCTTGACCATTTGTATGAATACTGCAGGGGCCCGCTGTAGGCCAAATGGAAGAATGTTGAATTAGAAACAACCCATGGGGCAGTTAAAAACAGTTTTCCATTCATCCCCTTCCTTAATTCGAACTCAGTAGTATGCTTCTCTCAAGTCAAGTTTTGTAAAAAATTTCCCTTTGGCCAAGTGTGCCCACATATCCTTCATCAGGGGGAGGGGTACACATTCTCCACTGAAATAGCATTCAGGTTTCTATAGTCAACACATAAACGGGAGCCATCTTTCTTTTCACGGAACAATACTGGGGCTGCTACCCGTGGTCTAGCAGGTTGGATGAAACCATGTTCCAAATTCTTATCAATAAATGACCGCAGCTCTTCTAGCTCCCGCGGTGTCATCGAGTACAGTTTTGGTTTTGGGAGTTTCACCCCAGGTAAAATTTCAATACTGTTGAGCAATGGGGGGGGGGGGGAGCTCATCCGATGCCTTTTCACTGAATACCTCCTCTAAGTCCCAATATTCCTCTGGAATTTTCTCCTCCCCCTTCAGGCTCTCGGTGCCAGTGGAGCCCAGCTCAGTGGGATTCTTGAGTTTTGGTTGAGATTGCCCCTCCCCTTCTGGGTGTTGGTCAGTACGTATGCGCAATGACCCTCTCCTCCAATCGACGTGAGGGTTCCATTTCTGGAGCCAGGGCAAACCCAGTAATAGGGGGTGGTCCATCCCAGGAGCCACAATAAAACACAAAGTCTCTCTGTGCTTCCCCATCGTCATTTCTATTGGTTCTGTTATGAAATGTGCAGGGGCGCCCCCAGCTACCGATCCATCCAATTGGCAAAAGGCTATGGGCATTTTTAAAGTCTTTTGCCTTAAGCCCATTTTCTCTACTACCTCTGAGCTGATTACGCACCTTGTGCACCCAGAGTCTAACAAGGCCAGCATTTCCTCTTTGGCTCCTGATGTGGGTACCCTTAATCTCACTGGAATAGTCACAGGGCCCTTGTTTGGACTTACCAGTGAGTTGTCTTCCAATCCGGATTCACTCTCTTCAGAGGAGGTTGGAGTTCCCAGCGCCTCTCCTTTCGGAGGGGCGATCTCTACAACCTCCTCTGCTTTAAGCGCCATTTCGTGAGGCTTTGCTGGGTTTTTTTCAAGTTTTCTTCCTCCTCCTGGTGCCCCCTTTGGCTCTAGCTTGGCACAGCAGTCTGCAGCCCAGTGGCCTTCCTTCCCACATTGGAAGCAGGCAGTGGTTTGGGGTTTTGCCACCATTCCTCCCTTTTGAGGCTTTAAGGCTTCTTGAGAGCTGGTGGGGGAGAACTTGCTCCAACCAAGCCCCCCCCGGTGTCTGTTTCGGGTCAGATCAATTTCCACATCTGCTGCCAGCACGTACCACAGCTGCAGCTCACTGGGGTCTCTTCTGGCAATACAGCTTTGATATACCTCTTCATTCAAACCATCTTTAAAAGCTTCTATCAGGGCTCCCTGGGACCAGCCTCGAATATGACACGCCAGCTCTCTAAATCCCTGGGTGTAGTTGGCCACTGATCTCTGCCCCTGATTTATGGTCTTCATCCTAATCCTAGCCTTGCATTCAGCAAGTGGGTCTTCAAACCTGGCCCGCAGCGCAGTCATGAACAGATCATAATTCATCAGCTGAGGGGCATTATCATTATGCAAAGTCACCATCCACTTTGCAGCTGTTCCCTCCAGAGCCCTGGTAACACATCTAACTTTGGCTGCTTCTGAGGAAAAATCCCCTCCATATTCCTCCATATGGCTCCAGACTTGTGCCAGGAAGAATCCTAACTCCTTGGGATCCCCCCCATATTTTACTTCCAATGGAGGCACCTTTGGAGTTCTACGTCTTCTGGCAATTACTCTCCCCACTGGGGACCCCTGGGCTGCTGCTGCCTGTTGTGTTAGCCCAGGTTGATTTATGGAGGTGGCTGCTCTAATTCTTTTGGCTGGAACTGCCTCCCCCTCCTCTCCCTCATACCTTTGATCAGTTTGAGGTTCTCCGATAGCTTCATTTAGAAGATGCAAGGCTTGAGTTAGTAGAAATTTTTTTCTTTCCTTCTCTTGCCATGGCTCCTCTCTTCCATGCTGATGGGTCACTCCTGGAGGAGGCTTTTCCTCAGGATCCTTCCAGATGACTCCCAGGAACCATTTGGGTTTTACAGCTGTTTTTTGCCAAGACTTAATTCTGCTAACAAGTCAGCTTCCCCTGCTGCCTCTAACAGCAGAGAATCTTGTCCTCCAGCTGCTCCCAAGTCTTCTTGGTTGCTGGCTGGATTTGACAGGAAGATCAGACCCCCTCGGAAGAAAATTCATTAATTCTCTGGGTGGGCTGGTAATGGGGAGATTCAGAATAATGTCAGCTGGTGCTCCATTCAAAATCCAAGAAAGAAATACTTAGACTCCTTTAATCAGAGAAAATATATCTTTTACTGGAAATCAAGTGGTAGCAACAAAAGAATTCTGAATCTGAGAAAATGGGCGCGTAAATCACATATACAAAGCAATGGCAACGTTCCCACCCCCAATAGTTCAATTGGCTCATCCAATTAAAAGTTTTATATATCATCATGTGGGCATCTCCAGGTGGTGATGAGGCTTCTGTCCATTGACCTTGACATATTTTGATAAAGAGTTGCAGCTGCACATAGCATAGGATAGAAACATAAGCAAGAATCTACACCCCCCCCCCAGTTTATACAGTTCTGATTTGTAACACCTCCAGCTCACTTCCCATAACCATTCTCCCCTCCTCCCCCTTTGGCTGTACTTATGACAGCCAAAAGATGCAAAGCAAAGGGAGAAAATCTTGAAGGCTGACATTATTAATATGTTGAAAGAAACTATTTTTGTTATCTTTGATTTTTGTTGCAAGTCTTTGTTCATTCTGAGGCTTTACTTTCCTGACTTCATCTTTGCATGTTCTGGTTATCTACTGATAATCAGCCTTAGTTACCTATGTTTCCCTGAAAATAAGACCCGGTCTTATTTTCTTTTCAGCCCAAAATAAGCACCAGGTCTTATTTTCAGGTGATGTCTTACCTGCTGAGCTTAGGCCCGCCACAGCCAGGCTTCCCATGCCCTAACATGTGTCAGGCTGCTGTCTAACTTCTTCTGTAGCTGCTTCGGCCACTTGTGGCCAGATGCCATGTGGTGCATCACGCTGGTGCTGCCATTCATGGCAGAACACTGCAAGACTCATTGTGCTGGTGCTGCTGCTTGTGTCAGAACACCGCAAGACTCATTGCACTGTTGCTGCCACTCTATTA